TGTATAGCAACAATCACTAATCAAGGAATAAATTTATGAATTTTAAATTTAGTTTTAAGAAATTACTTTTATCTCAACCTATGTAATCTTATATATCAAAGGATAGACTATGTTGTATAATGACACATGTCTCATATTTCTATAGAGCCACTACAATGGCACTAGATTTGTTTAACAGGTTTAAGCTCCAGAATATGCATTCGGGAAAAGTGTAGACAGGCTCTTCAACGTTTGCGGTGATCTTTTGACATGTGAATAAGTTGTTTTTCAATCTGGAAGGCGATCTAGTTTCTGCATGAGTTTTCTTTATAATTTTCCTCCACAAATTGAGATTAATATCTTCACTAAGTACCCTTCGTATTCTTTATGATCAGTAATTCAATACTTCTCCAAATAATAATATTGGCTCCATAACTTTGAACTGTGAAATTATAAATATATAAATAGGTTAATATTTAGTTTAAAAGGAAGGTTTAGTTGTATAGTTCGATCGTGGGGAAACACCTATCGGGGCTCTACTTCCTCTGCATTGTTGCTTCTTTTTTTTTTTTTTCACTTATTCACACTACAATGGTTACCGTTTCACTGCCATTGTATTAGATTTAAAACTCTAATGCGCGCATCACACAACTTTCACTTAGCAATTCACTTTAAAATGAAATTATTATCTGGCAAAATTTGGCTATTACAAAACGTTTTTAAGGAGCATTTAAAGACCATGAAAATAACATAAATCATATTTATTATATTGACAACAGGTAACCTCATGACTCCATCAGACTATTTGAGCCACATAACTGCTGTCTCTGAGCACTGTATAACAAAAGAGATTTGATAATGCATATATTTAATCTTTGAGTAAGTTATCTATGAGTCAAAATTATAGCAATTAAATCTCTGCCATCTGTTACATATATTTAAACTCCTATTTTTCCTGTTGTAAAATTTGCTTAAATACAGTTACGAGCTGATAATACAGTATAGAAAAATCAACAGTCCTCACACTAATTGTAAATGGATAATAATGTGATTTCACTACGGAACAATTAATCACATTATTGATTTTAATGTTATATACTGTTACTAATAAATATACTGTTATATACTTTTTGGAATAAATCGACTGAATATATATCTAATTATTTAAATGTATCATCAGATCTAAAATTACTTAACTTCAGTAAATGTGCTGAATGTTATGAACATACGGATCACTCATCTATGAAGATTAATTAATCTCTAAATCAGTTTTTAAACAATTTTATTAAGTAAATTCAGTGGATTATATATACTTTTTTAAAACATAAAAATAATCTTAAAAGTTTACATTTACTCTAAGAATTTTATTTAGTTTACATGGAAATATTAGATTTTCGTTAAATAATGTTAATTTTCAGAAATTATTATTTATAATTTTGTCGTTACTTTCCATTATATTCCTCGACTTTGAATGTTATATGTTATTTTATCTAGAATTCTCAGATTTCCAACGGTATTCACCTTAAAAAAGCCTTTTATCGTTACAACTAACAATATGAGTCCGTTAGTTATTTACATTGATCCCAATTAGATGTACTTACAGGAAGAAATATTGAACATTGGGCATTTAAGCTCTGTTAAGCGACATCAATGAGGATAAAATCTAACTGATATTAAATACCACTTAATTTTATAATGATATACTGAGTTTAATCATAATCGTTAGAGCCTGTTTTGAGCAAATTGTAAAAATATGTATAATCCATGCTATAAAGTGGCACATCCATTTAGCCAATTTTGATGAAAAATTTGTTGTAACATCTAGGTATATATCTATCTTAAATACGTAATACCAGTATCGTATGACTTTTAGTTTTTGAGCTAGAGTGTTCACACACAAACAAAGACCATTTTATGGGACTTGGTTAGTTGTATTCATGTAATTAAAACATGTATCTTCGTTGAAAACACTGATTCAAAAATGTTAACAATCGCCATATAATAGATAAAAGTAAATGAAAGTAAAAAGAAGTTTTTTATCAGCCTATTACTGTAGAGATATTACTGAAATTTTTTAGATAGGAGGAAACGAACTAAGCCCGAATGAAAAATTAGAGGAGTTAAATGCAAAATTATATTGGTTATGCCAATTATTTACATAAAGTAACTAAGATTGACAAGAATTAGCAACGATTTTGCCTTAATTTTTATTCAAAAAATTTTTCTACCAGTCCTGGTCTTGCAGGACTAAAGTGCATTTTAGGCAACACTAAGTATTATATTTCTTCTTTTTTGTTCTTCCAACTAAATAATCTCGTCCGGTAAAAAAAAAAAAAAAAGGAAAATCAGTGGTTCTCCTGATGCCCCTCAGTGTCCCGTTAAGTTTAGGTTCATGCGATTTTAACATAGAAAAGTTACATTTTAACAGTTTCTGTGAAACTTTTTTCTAAAAAAAAGTTTCATCTTAACTATTTATGTCTCTCATTACTACAGAATATATAAAAGCTACATTATTTGTTTATACATTCTAGTGATGTTATATATATAATAAAATTAGCCGTATTTAAAGAAATGAATAGATATAAAGAGCCTAAGTTGATTGAGTTAGATAAAATGACTGAAAATGTTTTCAATTCCGTGCGCTTTAACAGCCACTTACGTTCTCACTTATTAACCTATCCCCATGAGGTTTATAAGAAATTTAATGCTCTATCAAAATGATTATAAGTTTCTTGGAGAGATGCATAGATTAACAACAGTCAACTTGCTGTAACTATTTACTTGTTGGTCCTACACTAAAACGCCATTTTAAAAATAGATAAAAGCTTTTATATTTTTTAACTTTGTATAGAACAATAATGTTGATATAATGCATATCCAAAAATAACTAAAAAAGTGCAGAAATTTCGCTATTGTTTGCATATTTCTCGGAAAGTAATAGAAAAGTTCATTCGGTAACATCAAATTCAGATTCAACATCCCAATAAAAATAAAAAACCGAAGAGAAACCTGAAATTGAAATTTGAATTTTAAGCACATTTGACTGGATTATTTCGATGAGTTTGACGTCGTCAGTTTTCAAAACACAACTGATAACATCGTCAGTCGAGGTGAATTCTATTTTAGGGTCACATTCTTTGACCATATAAAAATTTAAGCCGTAATTTCAAATGACAAAAAACATCAAATTTCACCGCTTTAATTTAAATATTCGTATAGAAAGCAACATCTTTCCATCGTCAGACCAAAGTAGTGAGCTCAATTAATAACTGAGGTTTATCTACAATTAAAAATGGTTACTAACTGTTACTAGCTATCCAGTTGAAATAGTCCGTGATGGTATTCAATTTTGAGTTCGCGCCTTTTTTATTAAAACATAACATATCTCCACCATTTTTCAGCAAACATTAAAAAAACAATTTTTTTAATATTATAATATAGGACTACAACTCTTACTAAAGACTACAAAAAATATAAGGAACATTATTTCTCATTTGTCAGTAGTTACAATATTATGACAGAACTTAAATCAAGAAAATTTCACTTTATTGACGCCAAATAGATCAATTTACAACTCGTTTATAATTTTTTTTTATCAGATGAACTTCGATGAAAGCTAAAACAAGCATCCTTGCCGATTATACTATTACTTTTGGAATTCAAGAACGATGGTTTTTGACAGAGATATGAGGAAAAACATAAAATAAGACAGAAAGTGCTAGTCCGAGTTAAAAAATATCTAATATGCATTTTATTTTTAAAAAAAGGTATAAATGTTTTCATTTTTAACTATTTTTTTAATCGATAAAATACTTTAAAATATATTCTCTTGAAGTTTACAGCTGGATTGTGAACGAACCACAATGCAAGCAAGGTTCACTGAACAATGAAACTGTAAAAGTAACAGCATCAGATAACAATAATTTTGTTGATCGACAATACAAATTTGGCCTAATTATTGTTTATTAACTAATTACTTTGTTCAGTTCCTTTGTTATTAATTCAGATATCAGAAAAATATTTTTTTCTTTTATTTATTTTTGTCAATTAGTAATTTCAGTAAAAAAAAACATGTACCTTGTTTGATTTTTAATTACAAATATAAAATAAATTTTTCTCCATCCAGAGTCATTAAATGAAATAAATAATAACAGATCAATATTTAAGTACTCATAAATCCTCGCAATACAGTATTCAATAAAAAAAACAAAAAAAAAACTTCAAATATGCTGCAAACATGGAATAAGACAGCTAAAATATCCAAATACACTAACGGATTTACAAAAAGGAATGACGATGTTGTGAACGGTATCGAATCTCCGGGTTCCATAAGTTTATTTATTATTACTTCTAGCATTAATGTTACTTTTGTGAAATAATAATACAGTAAATGTTTATTTGAGCCTATTCTGAAAAAAAATAATATAAATTACAAATTAGTTTTAACCAGGTATTGAAACTTTTATGATAATTTTCTAAAAAGTTCCATTTCAACAATTTCTGTGAAACGTTTTGGAAAAATAAGTTCTTAAAATAAAAGTTCTTAAGAACTTTTGTTTAATGTTAGTAGTAAAAGTTAAACTTTTATTTATTTACGTTCTTAAATAAAGTTACGTTAAGTGAGAACTAAACAGTAACTGGGCTTAGATTAGATTTATTATTTATCTTACTGAATTTCTTCAATCTAATGGGTTGTTTGTTTGAGGAGCTTATAATTAAAGTAGTTTTTTAGATCTATATTTTGGCGAAATCGAAAGAACTTTAAAATAAATATTTTTAAAAATAAAATTTCTGTAAAACCTCAACTTGAAAAGTTGCAATAAAAAAATTAAAATAAAGATTTCATTATAACCGAAACTGATTTAAAATAAAGTTATAATTTCATTTCGAGCCCTTATTTTAACGACGTAAACTAACGAGTAAAGCTAAATTCTCACTTTAATAACATTTCGTTGATCTTATGCCAATTTATACATAAATATATTTAAGTTTTCACAGAATGCATTTAAATAAGATAACAAAAACAATGCTACATCATTATTTTTGTCTTTAAAAAGAAAAAAAATACAAATGATAGTCACGATGGCATTTACCTAAATTAAAGAATGTTTGAAACAATTGAACTGACAGTAGAAGCACAGCTGTTTTTAAAACAATCTTTCGACCCGCTGACTTACACTGATCAAAGGTGGGGGTTATAGAGTTTATGTTGATATCTTTTATGAAAATGAAGGAAGAAATCAAAACAGAGGAGCTGATCTACGAAGATGAACAGGATATGATGGCTTTTGATGATGGCATGCAAGAAGGTAAGAAAGAATATTAAACTATATTAAATATTATAGGGACAATCCAAGCATAAAAACTGTAAACTATTTAATGAAATGCAAATCACATCGTCCAATTAGTAGCATTGTCTGTTCCTGAGGGATTTCCCAATGGAAACTATACAAGTTTAAAATGAATAAATTACTTCAGTAAATCGGATTCATCTTATATTTTTTGCGACACCGCCAATTGCTACCATCTTCACCATTTATCTATCTTATAAAAGTTTGCAACATGTATTAAATGCGAAAAGTAATTTCAATAAGAACTTATTGAAATTTCTATTGAAGTATTATTATATAAATTATTATAGAATTCGTAATTATTAAAATGGTCACCGAACATCCAAGTGTGGCTAATCATTTCATTGGGTTAATAATCTCAACTTCTTTGGTGGTATATTTTGATTTATATTCAGAAAAGTTTTAACTTCAGACAGAAATAATTTTAACGCTTGAATTACAGCTGGTCTAGATTACATTAGCAAATTACCATTACTTGCAATAAATGGTAAAGAAAGGAAAATCGTGTTTAATAAACAATATGAAGTAGAAAACAGTTTTTTATCAATAATTTAAAACATTGTATTATGAATTGTTCTTTGTCATGAGATAATTTATTGTTCTCCACTGTCATGAGTCAATTAGCATTATTTACTTTTCAATAATATTTATTTTCTTTCTTCGCTTATAAATTAATACAAAATCAATAAAGAAAGAATATATCTTTTACTCTTTTGAGAAATCATCAATAATAACTCTACCAATCGAGCATTCCTAAATTATGAAAACAGCTGATCTATGTCCAATGAACTTCCTAATTTCAAAAAGTAACAAATCACATGTAACATGACTCTTAAATTAAAACAGAGTTAATTCAATGTATTTTAAATCAACATTTCGAAATGTACAGTCATTATCTGACGTCATTATTGAAGTCAATAATAAATGTATTACAAAAAATAATTAAAACATCTACCATCTAATATAATGCAATGGTTGGTTATCGCCTCACCAAGGCCTCGAATTAAATTTTGTAATTTATACCGAGATTCTCATTAATAATGTCATTAAAAAAACCGATGCCTACAAAAAAAAATTATTACATTTTTATAACTTTATGTGTGTTTATGATTTAGACATAAATCAGCTGCCGTACTTGGATTCAGTATCATTAACAAATAAAAGTGTGCCTTCCTTATCAACCACATTAATCCAGTTATCTACTCCGTTCAAGAGGCACTGGCATAAAGAGGAACAGTTTTTTTTTATCACTATAACGATTTAAATAATTTAAAAAGGTAGCCTGATAATGACGCATTTTTATATATAATTTTATATATAGATTTTATAACGCATAGCCATTGGGGTATTTGGAAGCCAGCTCAAGCACGGTATTTGCTCTAGACCAGCACAATCTTCGACAAAAAAAAATGTTTCCACTATTTATTTTTTCTAGTCTATATTTTTGACATCTTGATTTTTTCAAATTGAGTCCCATCATATGATGGGACTCAATTTTTAAAAGACATAAATACACTTCATGTTTAACGAAAATTGTTGGAATACTGTCTGAGCATTCAAGTACAATAATATTAGTCTCAGATTTAGTTATGACTTTTTTTTACTTTCCTACGTATAATAGGTAAGGAAAGTATTGCAATCGGGTCAAATATCCGACATGCGGTTTTCGATGGATATATACGTTTCACAGCCCCCTGAGTCCGAAAAACACATTTTTAGCCATTGGTCTGTCTGTGCCAAGATTTTCTTGGGAACTACTGAACCGATTTTGTTGCTTCTTTTTTTATTTTGTATCATCTATACGTTTCAGAGCCTGTGGTTTGAAATGTAATGAAATTCTCTAAAAAGCCATATAAAAATCGTTCATTTTGGACAACTATTAAGTTGCAGCTATTTGATTTCCAATGTAAGATTACGGTTCCATATCCTGGTGCCAGAAATGGGTGAATGAGAGAATAAAGATGACTAAGTGAAAGTAAGAAAATCTGTTGCCCGCATCACACAATCTCTACTATTTCCTCTACTTTTAACAGAAATTATTGTTTGACAATACCAAGCTATGGCAAAAAGTTTTTGATCAGCAATATTAGAGAGTATTGAAATTTTTACACTGATCTACCTTAAGCCGGTTTACATTGCTTTAGTTTATCAAATAAATCGTACTCAAATGTTATGTTTGAACAATTTTCAGGAAAATGTATCTAGTTCAATTCTTTTTTGTTTCTTCATGAACATATGTACAGATATAGAAACGTTTCTGAAATAGGTAGGAAAGTCGTGTGAGTGGACACACCAGATATTTTTCTATACATGTAAATGTATTCCATGCCATTCCTCTAATATATTTTATGTTTAAGTTATTAAAAGAGACTTAAAAGGACCTAGAAATATATATATATATATATATATATATATATATATATATGGCTTCATATCAAAGACGGGCAACTGTCATTTCCAGAAAAAATAACCACTACAAAGTATGAATGCTCGTGGGATGAGTACTATTTTGGGACAGTGGTGTTTCTCGGTCAATGGTTGTGCAAGGAGGTGATTTGACCGAGATCACACTCAACCGCCAGATTCTCCCCCTTAATCATTTATTTAATTGAGGGTGCACACTTTGTAGAGGCTAGGTATGTCCCAAGGGAATCTCCCGATCCTAAGGTCGATCCACGGCTGATGAAACAGAATAAATAATTTATCTGCCATAAGCCGGGATTCGAATCTGGGAACTTGACCATTAGAAGCTCAGCACCCTACCACTGAGCTACCCCACTCCCGTCATTTTCAGATAGACAGAAAAAGTCAATTTTTTTATTATTATAGGTTCAACTCAAACTGTTTCTAATGGTTTTATTTAAGAATGTTCGGTTTGATTCACGAAGATAAATCATTACCATTGATTCAAATATTGGTTTTTCTCAACTTTTTAAAAATGATAGATGCCCGTCTTTGGTATGAATCTACTCATAAATCGCTTCTTCACAACCGAAGTCAGGGAAGCTTCGTATTCGTGAGGGGGATTATTACTTGTGTCTTACATTTTACATTTCATGTAATCTTTGTAGATTGTACAATTTGGTAACAAACCAATTTCATCAAATTCTATCCACTACTTTCACCTAAATGTACTTTCTTCAAAAATCATATATATAAAAAACGTCTGTCTAAAAGTAAAATGATTGTTGTGAATTAGTAAAACACTAAATCTGTATCAATTTTATAGAATTTCATCCTCTATTCCTCTGACATACCCGCAAACGAATTTTCCTTGAGAAGTATGTTTATCTCCAAGGTGATCTAAACAAAGTCAAAAATTCCTTCTATTTTCCTCTGTAATCATTCATTAACTTGACTGAGTGGCGGCCTTAGACATTCGATACTCCCAGAAATGATCTCGGTACCCCAAGTCATATCCTCCCTCCCTAAAAAATTGAAATTATTTCTTAAGCTTTTTTATACACTGACAGACAAAAAATTCCACCCACTTAATTTTTTCATGTTTCCATCTAAAAATATTTCTGCTTTGGATTGGTCTATTGTTTTTAATGAATAAATATCTTTTTGTTTGTTTTCAATTAGGAATATTAATATAGAGGACAATAACCCTTAATCCTTAATTCAATGAAATGATTCTATATTCCAATTTTTACTTTCTATGGAATCAAAATGTTTATTCATTATCATTAGTTCAGTGCCGTTTCTTGCAGCACATTTCTTAGTCTCCGGCTTTTAATTTTTTCAATATTAAGTTTAAAAATGCCTCTTAGTGCTGAGGATGTTGCGCGTGGTGTGGCACTTATTGATGATGGACATTCCATTAGACATGCAGCTAATGCCATCGGAGTTCCATATGAAACTTTACGAGACGCCGTCAGGCGTTTTCGGGAAACTGGTTCTTACAATAGAAATCCCGGTTCTGGACGACCTAGGGTATCAGAACCACGGGATGACCGGTTTTTGAATTTGAGAATTTTACGAAACCGGCACCTTACCGTTGTTCAAGCGATTCATCAGCTCGAAGAAGTTCGAGGTGTGCAAATTTCTGAACGTACCGCTCGGAGAAGATTAAATGAGTTTGGATTAATGGCTTTTCGTCCAGTAAGAGGACCATAGTTGACCAGAACTCACAGAGCAACACGGCTAGCTTTTGCTCGAAAACACAGCCATTGGACTATGGACGAATGGAGTGCTGTGCTTTTTACAGAGAAGTTAAGATTCGCTCTTCGATCACCAGACGGGCGTGAAAGGGTGTGGAGAAGAAACGAAAGATATGCAGCCTGTAATTTTTCCCAGAGCCAACCTTTCCAACGTGGTTCCTTAATGGGTAACAAGTGTATTATGTAATATCTGAATTTTGTTGTATTCAACATTTCTTTAATTCAGTTGTTTTATTTACAAACTAAAATTAATTACTTTAATACTTTTGTAACTTTTTGTTTCTTTGTTACAAGAGGCAAGCGCTCCTGAAGATCGGTCGGCGTCCTCAGACAATTTACCCGGTTTCTCCACTCTAAGGCCGCTGACTGACATGACTATAAACTAATATTATATTTTGCTTCAATGGGTTTTTTGCTTCATGCTCATATAAGCTAATTATCATGAAGAAGGGTCAGAAAAAATCATATTTATGTATATTAAATAAATAATTTTACTATTATTACAGTGCCTTAATGGATATTAGTATAAATAGATACCAGAAAGTCATATAAATTAAATGGGCTTCACAGTTCTATTCATTGATTAGCAAACATATTTTTTCAAGAAAACATGTTCTGTGATATATATATATATCACTGAGCTTCCAATAAAAAGGTCCCGAGTTCGAACCCCGGCTCATGGCAGAAAATTTATTTATCTGTTTCATTGGCCGTGGGGGCGACCTTGGGTCAGGAGTCCCTCCTGGGGCACACCCAGCCTCTATAAAGTGGGTACCCTTAATTAAGTAATTGGTTAAGGGGGAAAACCTGGCGGTTGAGCGTGATCTCGGTCAAATCACCTCCTTGCACAACCGTTGACCTAGAAACAGTGCTTTCCCTAAATAGTACTGAACCCCAGATCCTTCATGGGTTGTAGTGGTACAGGTTTTTATATATATATATATATATATATATATATATATATATATATAACCTGATGAAACAGCACATTAGGAAACAAAATTTTATTTCTTTTATTTATTTCATATTTATAATTATTGATAGAATTTAGTAATTTTTTGATGATAGGCGAACTTGCAGTTCTTCCAGAAGACATTCCTGAAACAAAATATCAAATGCCAGAAGAGGAACAGGATTCGATGAGTATGCTGCCACACCTTGGTAAATATTTTTGTTTTGTTTTAAATCATTTTCAGATTACATTAAAGGGAAATCATTATATTATACCAGAACCTGAGTTTAACACTTTTAGATGGTCCGAGAACTGCTTGTCATCCCGCAATATGAAGGAGATCAAAAAGTTTTATGCGGGGGAAAAGTCTTACCAACCAATTAATCATTTTTAACAATTAAAAAATTAGAAGTGAAATAATCATATTTGTTTTTTATTATTATAGAGTCGATGGTAACGGGATGTGTGTGCGGCCTAAAGTGCTTGCAATAGATAATCAAAGTCAGGCTATATTGAACTTGGATGTGCGACTGTCCGATTGGGAAAGCCACACAGCGTATCCAGATTTGTGAGACCCTTCAGCCTAGGAACTCACATCGACCTGTCCTAGAAGTGAAAATTCTACTCCCTGTGCTTTAATCGTTTTAATTTGATAGGTATGAGTAATTTTTCAGAGGGTTGGTCCGTGGTCGGTCTTTTTAAGAGAAGAAATACAAGTTCTCTTGAGCCTGCTGACTCTAAGTAGTCTTGATCCATGAGTCGAGGCCACTGTCTTAATCTATTGTCGTTGAGCACGGGCAATTCGGCGGGAAGGATTAGTCCAATGGGATCGGCTCTGAAGATAAAGGTGTACCATGGTTCGCAGCAATGTGAGGTTGGGTGGCCCCCTCCATGCTCTCAATGCTCCCGCAAGCAATACATGTCTTTAAAAAAATTACACCGCGCGGATAAAGATGTACATGACTTATAGCACCAACCGAAAAAATAATTAGCGTCGTAAATACCCAAAATTTTGCTTAGCCCCGATATAGGTCAAAAATCAAGACCGACCGCTCATAGTCATGGATCTGTCTTCTACGAGGGAGGGGAGAGCTTTCGGTCTGAAGCTCTCTCCCCTCTGGTAAATATAACCATGTTTTATAGAAAAAAAATATTGAAAACTATCTCTTAAAGTATTCTTGTTCCTGTAATGACATTTAATAGGACTTCAAGAACCACTTAACCACCATTTCTACTAAGAACCTACAGGTAGTTAATTTCTTCCTTTATAATTAACTATCGTTATATGTATATGAAAAAAATATTTTTCGGACTGAAGCCCCCCAAAATTAAATCCTGGATCCGCTATTGATCTAAGATAAAACACTCAGTATCCGAAGGTAAAGTAGTCCCCATTTGGGTCTCCGAATGGACATGCTGTAGAGGATTGTTAGTGCAAGTTGGAAATTAGGGATTTAGAAATAGTAAAAAGAAACGTTAGACGTTTGAAATGGTTGAAATCAGTCGCAAACGATGTTAAGGAGTACAATTTTGATATCATATCACTACGAGAGATTCGCTAACCAAGGGAAGTTCACTATTCACTGTTTGAGGCAAAGGAAGCAGGAATCATTATTTAGATAACTGATTTATAATTAGGAATAAATTACAATCCACTTTGAGGAAAATACAATTTTTTAGTGGTAAGATTTCACCGGTTATTTAAAATCGCTTTAAAAAACATAACTTGTCCAAACAACGAAAAATGATGATTATGTCAAATCGTATGAAAAAAAAAATTCGCGAAACTGCGTAAATAATTCTAGAAGACGCGAACGAAAATATAGGAAAGAGAGAAGTTTATTTTCCGACGATTGGTAAAGAAAGTTTGCACGTCTGTAGTAATGGTCATGCAATATGGCTAAGACTCTAAAAATAATAATAATAATTTTAAAAAAATACAGTGGCTCACAAAACCGATGCAATGGTGGCCTGTATTCATAAAATTAACATGATGTTTTGAACCATTAGTTAAGGTATAGTAAAGTATATATATATATATATATATATATATATATATATATATATATATATATATATATATATATATATATTTATTCAACAATAATTTTTAATTAAGAAATAGTGACAAAACTATTTTATTAAGGCTTACATATGATTGTAGAAAGGCATTTAAAAAAAAAAAATCGATTGAGACACTTAAAAATTGTGTCTGCTTTGAAAGTATTATCACTTGTACTCTAATACTTGGTGTTGCCTTCTTGGTTTTAATTATGACTGAATTCTATCTTGAACGTTTTTGACAAGGCTGGGCTATTATCTATATGTTGTCCCAAATCGATTAGCTGTGTCGGCCTTAAACATCCGGCACCCTCGGGCAATGACGGTTATCTCCCCTCTACCTAAAAAAATTAAATTTATTTCTTAATTTGTTTTATATATATTTTATTATATATAAATAATAATTTATTATATATAAATTTTATTATATATTTTATTATATAAAAAAAAAATTGAAATCTTTTCTTCTCCAGGTCGGCGCATCGGGGCGCTTATCACACTTCTTTCGCCCCAAGGCCGGAATTGTCGATTAGCTCCGCTCACACAGGTCTTTCGTCGATTTCGGAGGATTTTCGTACTTACAAGGGGGGTTACGGACATGGGGTCACCGATTTCAATGAAACTTTTTTTGGTGATACTAGGTCGAAAAATATTAGGTCCATGTTCGAGGGTTCTTGCCAATGTGCCCCAGGAGCCGAGAAAAAAAATGGTTTATAAAATGATATTGTTTTTTTATGTTACTGTTTTCTAATCTTGCTCTGCATGGATTTATAAGTAATTATATATCAATCGATTTGTTTTGTGGGTTTTTTTTGTGTTAAATAAGAAAAACATATTTCTAATTGTAAAAAACGAATTATAAGGTATAATAAATTACAAAAACCCATAGACGCATCTAATAAAGTAGGCCAAGTCAATTTTTGTCATGGAAAAACGATTCAGATTCGTTTTTAGGGTCCACTATAACTCTTAAATACGAGCATGTTTTCGAATAAAAATATATAAATTTTTGGACGTAATTTTATGGAAGGACTGTTTTTCATGCAGTTTACTAAAATATTTTCTACTAAGTCGACGTTACTACAACCTTTGGAAAGCTAAATTATTGCTCTTCAAAACTACATCCATACCTTTTAGATTTCACGCTTTTATAAGGAATAAATAAATAAATACACACAAAACGTTTTTTTTGTTATCTCTTGAAGCTGGATAAATACTATATTTTGTGATTATAATATTACTTTCGATACCCGTTCGGTTTAGAAATATATATATATATATATATATATATTATATATATATTATATATATATATATATATATGGCATACAGGTATAGCATGTGTTCAATAATGAATCAAATAGAACTGATCTAAGGAGTAAAATGGATTCAAATATTTTTTTAAGTATAATTTTTTTTTTTTTTGTTATTTTAAATTTGCCACTGCGTTGGAACGCATCAAGCAAATGTGTTGGCGTTAATTATATCTTCTTGAATTCCTGATATCTTCTTAACTTTTCAACAGATCTCTAGGCCACTGCCTTTTTAGTCGTCTTTGAGGCTCACCAGGTAACAGGGAGGAAGATAGAGATAGAACGAGTGGATTTGGATGATTGAGAGTAGAAGTGTGAAATGTGTATTTGTTGTGTATGTAGGATTTTACTTTTGGTATGTTCATGTCTTTGTGTATGATGTGATTTGAAATAAACCAAGGAGCATTGATAATTTTACGGAGTATTTTGGATTGTGTGGTTTGAATTTTGTTGATGTGTGCGTGTTTTGCGGAACCCCAAAGTTCTGCTCCGTATGTCCAAAGTAGAAATGAAGTTGATATTTGTGTTTCGTACCTCAAAAAACCCTTAAATATGATATTTCATATTAATCGAAAAATTAAAAAAAAAATCTCAAAATTATTGCCTAGATTGGCGCCTTAAATTTTTTTTAAAATCGCAGAAGTCGTGATAACTTCGACATGGGTCCCACTTATTCACACGAAAATTATCATAGCGTTTGGGGCCTAGAATTTATACAAAATGGCACAAACCAGAATCTCGCAAATAAATTAGGCTTGGAGATAAAAAATAAAAACGTTTGGAGAGTATTTATTTATTTATTCTTTGTAAAGGAGTGAAATCTAAAAGTTATTAATATAGTTTTGAAGGGCAATAATTTATCTTACCAACAGTTTTAGTAACGTAAACTTAGGAGAAAAACATGAGGAGTTACAAATATTTTAGAAAACGGCAAGAAAAAAAATTCTACCATAAAATTATGTCCAAAAATTTATATATTTTTATTTCAAAACATACTCGTATTTAAGTTTTAGTGGACCCTAAAAACCAATCTGAAAGCGCCTATGGGTTTTTGTAATCTTTTTTTCGTCGGTCCAAGACTCCCACTGAAGTCCTGTAGTGCAATTTGTAATTTATTATACCTTATAATTCGTTAAAAACAATCAGCAATATGTTTTTCTCAAGAAGGCACTTGAGGCTGAGACAGAAAGAGAGGAGGTTGTTAGAAGAGAGAGATACTACAGTGAAGACTAAGAATATCAAGCCTACAGTTATAAGACTTTTATGCATTCATTTATTACAGTTGTCAAAATAAATTGTTTTATTATACAGGATTGAAAAGTCATTTTATTTAGTTGTCCTATATGCCTCACAACTGCCAGTGGTGTCCTAAGGAGTTTCTATATCACATATTGTTCTTTGTTTCAATTCTCCGTTTTCCAACGATATATTATACTTATACGTTCTGACTATTATTTCCGGATATTCATTTCGGCCACGATATGTATTTTTCTTCTTTTTTTTCACCCATATACAATTATCAAATTCTTTCAAAAGCTATATTTAGCATTTTTTTCATAACTCCTAACAATGAGAAATCATTATTATTTATAATAAACCAAATTAAAGGTACTTTAGAGAAATACATGATAATGTTGGGATTTCACAAAGGGAAAATTTATCAAATTATTCACTAATATAATTTTTTTTAAAGTTACATGACAATTTTTCAGAATAAACGGATGATGATACCTAATTATTTAAACTAGTGTTCACCCAGTGGTCGAAATTCGACCATAAACATAAAAAATTTGAGGAAAACAAATAGTTAAATAAAAATAAATTCAATAAATAAAGAGTAAATCACAATTTATTAATAAAAACAAAATTTAAATTTCTATAAAAAATCGAGCTTAAACTACTTAAAATTATTTATATTTAATACAAAATAGACTCATTTAAAAATATATAATTTCCAGAATTTATGTGTGTTATTATCACAACAAACTAATGTTATGATTAAGGAAGTAAAAACTAAATTTAAATTAGCAATTTCGATTCAGTTTAAATCAATTTTTATGAAGAACTTCTCAGTAAAAAAATGTTCATCTTGAATGTTCTGTAATTGTTTAGTATATAGCTTAGCCCATTGCCATTGGAAATATAAATTTCAAAATTTTAAAGAACATGCTCTACTTGCTGTCACATATAATTATCCACGCGAAATTACTGGACGTCGCAATAATACACAAAACTTTGACCCTACGATTTAATTATGATCATAGCAAATGCAGCTTTTAATAAGAACGTTGTTTTTTTAAATTCGAATGGAAGTATTGTGTCAGGAAATATTAAATTAATTATTGGAATTAAAGTTCTTTTATTTAAAGTAGCTCCCGTTAGAACTCCACTCTCCTCATTCTTGTTCCATTAACTAATGCTTGTGCAGTATTTAATTTAAGAATGAGTAATACTATAGAATTAACTTTTAAATTTAATTTATGAGGTTATTTTATTCTTATTTATTGTATATATATATTATTTTTCTGTATAATTTATTTTATTTATTGTACATAGAGTGTGAATGTGATCTGTGAACTCTATTATAAATGTCCTAGAGACAGATTGTAACATTTTTCAATAAATAAGTTTTAAAAAAAATTATGAGGTAACATTCCACTGACATTCAATGATATCATCTCTTCAAATAATAGTCCCGATTACTATTACGATTTATCAAAAACCAAAATAATGGAAATCGTCTTTGGGAAAGAAAAAGTACTATATATACAATATGATATATCTCTGTCACAAATAGTCCAATTTTGATTTTTTTTTTTTTTTTTTTTTTTTTTTTTTGAGGGAATTCAGGAAGTCAATTTTCGTTTGGATAAGTAAAGCCATGTTTAAGTTATGACAACTTTTATGATTTTTAGAAAAAAAAATTATGATTTAGTAAATAAAAATAAATGTACTTTTTGAGTTATTCGCAAATAAAATACTGAATTCATCATAAAAAATATATGCAGCTTTTTTCCGGGAAAGTATGTTATGTAAATAAATTATAAATATTTCGAGGGGAAGTAATTAGCCAAGTTTCATTGAAATCGTTGCAGCCGTATTGGCGCTACAGTCTAAAGCGAATCACGTTTTTCGGCCGACGTTTCAAAAGGAAAGGCCTGATGATAATAAACGTTCACAAAAACACTTCTAAATATTATTGCGACATTGTATCAAAATTTTAAAGTATTCGGTGAAAAACTTTCAGAGATTAACTGTTTTGAACAAACTACTATTTATATTTTTATTTACATACTCTATTTCATATTTCTATGTATTGATAACACTAACGCTTGTCAATAGCTATTAAACAAAATAAGAAGGAAGAAAATCGGTTGGATAATAGAGGAGAAAAAGGGGCTAATTTTTTTTGTGTTTGCCTATTTCTATAATGATATCATATCATATCTATAATCACTAAACTACAGTAAATGTATTTAAGGTTATAAACAGATGCTTTATACATTCATGAAATGATTTTATATTTTACTTCTTCTTTCACAAAAGTAAAATGTGGATTTTAAATACATTTTACAAACTTAAAAATATTTTTTAAAGTTTACATTTAGTAAGTAAATTTCATTTACGGATAAGACCTGATTGATATTAAAGACTAGTTCATTATACAATGAGACACCGAGTTTAATCAAAATCGTTAGAGCCGTTTTTGAGTAAATTGTAAAAATGTGTTTCAGCGTTGATATAAAGTGGTACTTCCGGTTAGCCGATTTTAAGGAAAAAGTTGCTGCCATATCTAAGGCATATACCTATCTTAAATACGTAATACCAGTTTCGTCCGACTTTTCGTTTTTCAGCTAGACTGCTAACATACACACACACAAAACATTTTTCGTGACTTGGTTATTTGGACCCAGGGTACCCCAAAACGTGTATTTCCGTTGAAAACTAAAAGATTAAAAAATGTTAACGATCGCAATACTTACGATTACTATATATTACATACATACGTAAGTGAAAGTAATGAAAAATTTTATCTGGAATTTTTACTTTTACTTATGTATATATATAATATATATTAATGGTAAGTATTGCGACCGAGAAAATTTTCAAGTCTCAGTTTACAACGGAAATACACGTTTTGAGGTACCCTGAGTCCAAATAACGAAGTCCCGAAAAATAGTCTGCATCTGTGAACACTCTAGCTCGAAAACGAAAAGTCGTACGAAACTAATATTACGTATTTAAGATAGGTATATGCCTTAGATGTCCTGGCAACTTTTTCCTTAAAATCGGCTAACGGGAAGTGCCACTTTATATTAACGCTGAAATACATTTTTAAAATTTTCTCAAAAACCGCTCTAATAATTTCTCTATTAATAATCTAACTCGGTGTATCATTGTATAATTAAATGGTCTTCAATATCATTTAGGTCTTATCCCCGTCAATTTACAGAGCTTAAATGCCCATTGTTCATATGCATCTTCCTCTAAAGTACCTTTAATATGGTTCATTTCAAATAATTAACTATCTCTCATAATTAAAAGTTACGAAAAAAATGCTAAATATTACATTTGAAAGAATTTGATAAATCAATAGAGAAGAGAAAAATTAAAATGCTTATCCAGGTCGAAAATGAATCTCTGGAAATACTAGAAAGAAGGTATAGGTATAATATATTGTTGGAAAGCGGAGAATTTTAGAAAAAAACAATATCTAATATAGAAAGTTGTAGAGGGTAACGGAGAGTGGCTAAAAAATTGTAAATAATAATTTCTGAAAACTAATAATATTTAATGCAAATCACATGTTTTCAAGGAAATTAAATGAAATTTACTAACTAAATGTATACTTTAAAAGATATTTTTAAGTCTGTAGAAAGTATTTAAAATCCACCTAATCAAGGCAATGACATTGTTATAAAAACTATTTCATTGTACTTGTGAGAAAGAAGAAGTAAAATATAAAATCATTTCATGGATGTATAAAGCATATGTTTATAGCCTTAAATACATTTACTGTAGTTCAGTGATTATCGATATAATGTTATATTTAAATAATTAGGTATCAACGTTTATTCCGAAAAATTGTCATGTAACTTATTAGAAAATTAAATAAGTGAATTATTTGATGAATTTCCCCTTTGTGAAATCCCAACATTATCATGTCTTCCTCTAAAGTACTTTTAATTTGGTTTATTATGAATAATAACTATTTATCATTGTTAGGAGTTATAGAAAATGCTAAATATAACTTTTGGAAGAATTAGATAATTAAATAAAGGAGAAAAAAGAAAAATACTTATCCAGGTTGAAAATGAATATTCGGAAATAATAGTAAGAAGGTATACTATAATATATTGTTGGAAAGCGGAGAATTAAAAAAAACAATGTATCGTACAGAAAATTGTAGAAGATAACGGAGAGTGACGAAAAAATATAAATAATAATTTCTAAAAACTAACATTATTTAAGTAAATCAGGTGTTTTCAAGGAAATTAAATTAAATTTTCTTACTAAATCTAAACTTTAAAAAATAAATTTAAGTATGAAAAAGTATTTAAAACCCACGGATTCAAGGCAATGACATTGTTTAAGATACTATTTCATTGTTCTTGTGTGAAAGAAGAAGTGAAATATAAAAATATTTCATGGATATGTTTATAAACTTAAATATATTTACTGTAGTTTAATAACTCTAGATCTGATATTATATTTAAAAAATTAGGTATCTATAGTACGTTTATTCCGAAAAAACCTTTTATAAAATTAAATTAGTGAATAATTTGATAAATTTTCACTTTGCGATATTCCAACAGAATCCTGTTACAATCAGTGTGACAACTTTTGACCTGTCTATGACAGACAATGCAAATTTCTTAATTCCGTTTAGAGGGTAAAAAAAAACTCAAAATACTGCATTTTTTTTTCTAGTAGCCCAATAGCTTTGTCCTTACACTGTCCTACGGCATTTTTTAACATTAAATGTTTTTGTGTAAATAAAAAATTGTATTTACTGAATCTTATAGACATTTTATGCTATTTCACAAGTTAATAAAAATTACATGTTAGCAGATTCTTTACCTGAATATATTCAATGATAAAACAATTTTATAAATTATGAAAAATAAATAATATTAAGTAGGTAATATACATGTTTTGTAATTTAAAAGTAAAATAAGGTGCATTTTGTCATGAAAGGAAAAGAAAAAAAAATCTCAGATATTTTTCTAAAAGTTTACCACAGCTGAATTTTATCAACTTTGGCTATTACCTGCTCCAGATGTTATTACAAAAGTCATAACTACTGTACATTAGTTTCAACAATTGAAACATCATCGATTGGTAGGAGTTAAGAATCCTAATGAGCAAAACTTGCAATGAATGCATTCCTCTCTCCTCAAATTGGTATAATACTGCTATTAATTTATTTTGTTTGATTAATAGGAGAGGTAATATGGCTGAAGTCGGAGCTGACAGATGTAACATTAGATAAAGAACCAGAATTAGGTAAATAGTTGAGTCAATTATTCTGATATTTACAAATGTTTTCTTTTAAATATGTTTTAATATTTAGTAGTTTTTCAAATTGTATTTTAATTATAATTATTAGTATTAGATTTTTATTGTTTTCCACTTTAATTTTTGACAAAACAATTCTTGAATTAATTTATTCCTTCTTTTTCTCCCTAATCTGTATTTATTATTTTATTACTTCATGATTTAAATAAATTAGCTCATTTTTATTCTAATGACTGCCTCAGATGACCCTATGAGCTTTGGCTATTTTGAGGAACAAGGGCAGGATAGGAGAGAATCATATTTTTTGAGCGAAGGTGAATAATAATTTTTATTTGTAAAATCATTCATTCATTAGCAATAACTACAAATTATTTTTAATTTTAATTATAAATTTACCTAACTTTGTAAGATTATTATAAAGAGTGAAATGGAGTATATTTAATCTTGAGCAACCATGACTTATAAGACTTAACTTACCAACCTCACTTTAATAAATGTCACCATGTCAGCATCCCCATACAATTGCATTAATTCGCCATTAGTCCGTTGTTTCCCGACTCCACTTACACATAATGCTCCCAAGATTCTCTTAAGAATCTGCCTCTCAAATTCAGAGTCAGTTCATGATTTCTGGTAATAGTCCAGCATTCCGCAGCATAAGTCATTACTGGCTGAACCAGTGTTTTATACAGGCTGAGTGACTCGTATGAGTACTCATTGAGTAAGGTGCTAGCTTCCTATGCTCGAAGTCCTTGGTTCAATTCCAGCTATGGTAAGTAATTATTTATTGTGTTTCATCAGTCGTGGATTGACCCTGGCATCAGAAGAACCTACTGGAGCACACCCCGCCTCTATAACATGGGTAATCTTAATTAAATAATTAATTAATGGAGAAACCTAGCAGTCGAGAAAGATCTTGGCACAATGACCTCCATGCACAACCATTGGCCTTGAAAGACAGTACATCCTTACATAATACTGAACCCAAGAACTTCCATGGGTTGTAGCAGTACAGGGTTTTAATTCAATGAATAATTATATATATTAAATTAATCATTAAATTATCGATTATTAAATTCATTAATTAGTCTAAAATTGCTATTATCTTTCAATCATTCAACAGATTTAACTGTGAAAAAATAAATAATAATTCATAAATCATATTGTACATACATAAGTGACAGAAATACAATGTAATGTAATTCAAACTAAAATAAATTTTATTTCATAGGAAACAAATTAGGAGATTCAAAATTTACCTGTTTCTACTGTGGCAATGAATCAAACTGCCTGAAGAAGCTTAGAGCTCACATTAAAACAACCCACACCGGTCCCAAAAGGATATCTGATCAAAGCAAAATCTATGAAGCAATCATAATTTATTCATGCCGTTACTGTGATTATAGAACCAATGACAATTCTCTCTACTCAAACCATTTGAGGAAACATTTAGCTGAGATACCAGTAACAAAGAAGTTGATCTGTTCTAAGGAATTAAAGATCTGCAATCATCAATTCAAGATCAAGCATCGCTTTCGTTGTCCATACTGCAGCTTCAAAACCTCAGATAATGAGAGAATACGGCAGCACATGTGCTCCTGCCATGAGAACCAGAGGCCCTACCACTACCTCAGAGAGAGGACGAGACCTCACGAAGGCAGGCAGTTTGTTTATCATCCATGCCCTGAGTGCAGATATTGTGCTGGACGGTCTGGAACCCTGCGTAGGCACATCATGGCTAAGCATACTAATGAGAGACCATATCACTGTACAGAATGCAACTATCAAGCCACTCAGAATGAGACCCTTAGGAGGCATGTCTTAGCTAGGCACACCAAAGAGAAACCTCACCACTGCCCAAGGTGTACCTATAGTGCTGTACAATTAGGCACACTTAAATACCATGTCAAGAGCAAGCACAATCTTCTATAATAGGCTATATTGATATGGAGTTTAACTTATTTTATAAATATATTGGTTTAAATATTAAAATTATTATTTAGTTTTTCCTTTTCTATCACTAGAAAAATACTGAAAAATTATAAACATTTTTTAACCAAATAATTGCTTATGTTTCTAAAACATTAACCCAAGAACAACTATTCATATATAACTAATGTGACAATTTAAATTTGTAAATATTTTTAAAAAAGATTTTGCTGATACACAAGACTTTTCAAAACCATGCATAAAAAAGGTTAATTCCATTAAAAATAAACATGAAACTGGAAAGATTTAAAATCAAAATAGCTTTTTATTTGGTGATCAATCAAAGTTATATAACACAAAAAAATAGTGTTTTTTTGTTTTTACTAAATCAACAGTACTTTAAGCTACATTAGAATCAATAATAAGATCCACATTATTTTTTTTAAACTTTTACTTTCTTATACATTTGTCTCAGAAAGAAAATTTGGTCATCAGTAGATCTATTAGGTGTAAATTCACCAGGGTAATATCCAAGTTTCCTCTCAACATAACAAAGTAAGCAGTCCTAGAGGTCTCATCTTTCAATGGCCTCCCAAATAGTGCCTTCTCATGTTTTCTTAGATCTCCATCTGTTCCACCTTTGTTTAGTATATGACCTTCGCCGATCTGTTATGAAAATTTCGAAATTTTTTAATGAAATAATCACCCATTACTGACATATTTTCAAAAAACGAAGACTGCAGTAAAAGTGTTAAAGCCTAAAAAAATATCATGCTCATTGGAAAATGCTATTAGATCATTATCCACTATATTCAGATCACAAAAATAATCCTAAGCCCTTTTTAACAAGCCTAAGGCCTTGTCCACAATGGCACACCGACCCTCGTGGAAAAATGCACACATTGTTTCGTATGGGAGTGGCCCACAACGGCGCACCGACCCTAGCAAGGAATCTCTTCAATGCCTTTAGCTTCACTCAAAGCTAAAAGCCTCACGCAACCAGACTTCAGAACGGCAGTGTTTATAGAAATATTTTTATATCTCATTTTCATAACCAAATAAGCCTATTTATTGTTTATTTATATTAATATTATTAATTTATATTAAAATTGTTAATATTTTATATTAATCCTGTTAATATTTTTGAGACCTGGACACTAACCAGTGTCCTGAAAAAAGTATTGAAAATTTGAGAGTAAAATCCTCTACATAATAACCGGAGTGATCTGGGATCAGAGTACTAACACAAGGAGAAGAAAGACCAATGAAGAACTTCTTACAGAATTTGGTCTATAAATATCTCATGATATGAAGGCTTGGAAGTAAAGATGGACGAGGCATGTAGCTCGGATTAATCCATCTGGAAGCCTCTACGTAATAATGAATGTCTCAATAGAAGATAAAAGACCATTGGAAGACTAAAAAGCAGATAGGTAGATCCAACAAAGATGCAATAGAGCTGCATGCAAATAACTGGAAAGAAATAGCCGAAGATAGGCAGAGATGGAGCAGACTTGTTAAGGTGACAAAAGATCTATAAGGTCTCTGTAATGGAACACAAAAAAAAAAACTTAATATTTTATATTATTATATCCGGCACTACAAACTTACCTTTAGTACAAAGTGCTGCTGCCCTTCTGGATATCTGCAGATATCCAATATGGTCTGGGCATTTAAAGCTGCACAGTCTTCCCACCGAAGTTGTGGCTGCCCTGTTCTTCTCACACCAACGTTTTGCTCCCTTAGGGATTTTTTTATAATATAAAAATTTTTATATTAACACTGTTAATATTTTATATTAATACTGCTAATCTTTTATAATAATTCTGTTAATTTTTCATATCCATGTTGTTAATATTGTATATTTATATTTATTCTGATTATAATAAAAATATATTAGTTTATTATAAAACTGACAAAAGATTTTAAATAAATAGGTTCAATATGTGTATAAATGAGACTTTTGTTATAATTTTTAATTCTTATAGATCGTGATTGCTGATAATGAACAGTAGCTGTACATACAAGCTTTTATCATATTAAATAAAAATAAAAAAAAGAATTTTGTATCCCTACCTTAGGAGTCAAAAAAGACAAGCATGAGCTCAAATGAGTTATCATATTTTTGGATGCATAATTAAATTATTTTAGGCTATGATAGTATTAAGTTTTTGTAAAAAATTAACAATTTAAACGATAGTTTTAAAAATGAAAAAAAAAAAGTAAAAACAAAACCTAATATTGCTCTACAATATTGTAAATTAGCTTTAATTAAGAAACTTCTTTAATAAATCACTTAACATTTAATATATAAACCACTTTACAGAATTTACAGATTTACAGAAGTTGTAAGTGCAAACTTTATTATTCCTTTTATTATATAAATTTTATTTCAGCTATCATAAAACAAAACATTGCCGTATCCTCGAGAAGTTTCATTATAAAATTCACGAATATATTTCGATACTACAGTAATCTATTAATCTCATTTTTTGTTATTTCACAGAATAATTAAAATAATTTCAGTAGGACATGTCCCAACAATGATTTCAATTCCAAATAATAGAAATAAAATTAGTAAAGAAAGAAAATAAAATTAGATCTTTGCGGTAAATCAAATTGGATATAATTACTGGCTCCAGGTACCTGGGGTCATCACTACCCTAAAATTCAGCGAATTTCTTGTTTATGAGTTAAAATACTATCCATATAAAATCTTATGATTTATGTTTTTATTTTATTTTTATTTAGTATACAGTTTCTTTGTTGACTAAATATGGGCTTTAATATTCTCTTAATATGTAATATCCTCCAAATACGTAAAATAAAACATGCTTTATTTGCATTTAAATTGTATAAAAAGCAAAATAAACTGTCGATGCTAGGAGAGGTGTGAGGGTCCGGGCGCCATGTGGATAGACATGTAGTAAGGACCGACCCTAAATCCGATCACAGAGGATTAAACTTGGTGCGAGGTGCTAAGCTTTTAGTGGTGCAAGGACCGGTGCGCCATTGTGGATAAGGTCTAATTATAACCTCCATACACATTTTTTATAGGTTTAATGTTATAGGGTTACTGTGTAAGAAAAATAAAATATGCTCATAATATTATATATACAAAAATAAGAAGTATATTGAATAATAGTTGCATTTTAAACATATTACTACATTAAATTTTTTAAAAAATAGATTTTATAAAAATAATATTAAAACTATTCAAATTATTTTTGATTTTCAATTAATACTCATATTTCAATACAACAAATATGATAAATAAAAACAAAGTTTATGGTTCATTACAACAGATGACAATTGTTTTTTATTTCTTCTTTTCAAGAAGAAAAATTTTATAAATCAAATAAAATATGTAGCATGATAATTTTACTAAAATACAAATTAACACGTAACAACAAAAAATGTTATTGGGTAGTTACAATTTCTATATACAAATCAATATAAATATAAATATCCAAATATTCATTTAAAAATCTAATTTGAGCAATACAAACAACAGTCAGTAAAGAAGCATTAGAAATTTACATCCTTCCATTTTAATGACTAATACTTTTCATTAAGCTTAAATTTAACAATATTTTAAATATCATTCTTAAAGATATTATATTATACTCAAAAGACAAGAGTTCAAAAAATGATTCTTATCATTTAGTATTGAAAATTAACATTTTATTACTTATGTAACATGACTTCCAAAATTCCCCAATAATATTCAAGTCTATTGAAATAGGAAAAATTAATAAAATATATCTGAAAGAGTAACAAATGATTATATAATCTCTTCATTTCAAAATAATGCTAAAAATTTATAAAATCTCAACTTACATCATTACTTGAATTTCAGAAAAATGATGTGTTAATCTTAAAACAAGGTTCTTCACAGAAGCAACATCAGCATGAAGAATTTTGATTTCAGATTAAAATTATATAAATTTCAATAATCATAAAGTGATTTATAATTTATAATGAATAGTATTCCAATTATGAAAATAAGCACTATTTTTGTTTGAAGGCAATAATTCAGATCATTAAAGTTTTAAATATTAAATAAGGCCTAATGCATAGATAACATAAAACAAACTATACAAAATAAAAATAACATAATTATTTTATAATCTAATATTGAACAAGCAGTATGTATAATAATATAAACAACTAATTAATAATTTCATATTTTACTTCTCCTTTAACTACATAATGTAAAATAATATAGCCAAATTGGTAACACATTAAAAAGGGTTCATCAAAAATAATGCAATTTTTAACATCTTTCTGAATGTATACACATTTCAATTAAAAATAAATCTCATCAATTCTATTAAATTAATATTCTGAAAGTCCAGGAAGAGGAAATTTCTCAGAAAATTCTTCAATTTCTTTTTTCAAACTTATTACTTTGTCAGATAACGGAGACTGAGATAAGACTTTTTTGAAATCCGTTAGTTTAGGACTTGCAGCTGATTTGGCTGCTTCGACTCCTATGTTCAAAGCTAAAACAAAAGCAAACATATAAATTAAAAATACTTTGACAAGAAGTTTTAAATACTCAGAGTGACCAAAAACATTAAAAGTTTAATTAGCAAAAAGTTACTTTCAAATGAGTTTCGCACCAATGAAAAAAAAAATCTAATTTAAAAAAATGCAATTTTATTTATTATGGTATGGTTACATTTAATACTTAGAACTGTAACACATCATCCTAGCACTCTTCTGGCATCATTAATGATATAATATCAATGAATCGGGGTTCATTAATTTACCCTAACACTCCAGTGACCTATCTTGGAGCTTAAGGAATTACGATTCAAAGAACATCACTCTTAAGGTATCATTTCACTGGTACTGCCTACAGCAGTTGCCATCGCTTACTGCCGACCATTTGTGCTTGTGTATTTTACTGTAACTATTCACCGTAGCGGTTAAATAATGAGGTCGGTGGTATAAAATGCTAACCTCCCTGCCGACCCACAAGAGAGTGATGGTTTATTATAATATTTTGAATAAAAAATATCAGCCTAGTGATAGAAAGAATAGCAAGAAGTATTATTTTAAGAATTTATGGTGTATCTCAGATTTTAAATGTATTAATTATTATTAGTAAGATCATTTCAGTAATAATAATAATATATTTGTAGTAATGAAATCACAAAAGTTAATGTGAATCTGTACTTTATTTAAAAAAGACAAATTACTTTTTCAATGATCGGATTTAAGTATTTACTTCAGAATAATTTATGTTTTTTTTTGTCATTACAGACCATGTAGATGTTTTTCCACCTTAACAAACCTGCTCTAACTCTGCCTGTCTTGGGCTATTTCTGTCCATTTATCTGCACGCAGCTCTATAGCATCTTTGTTGATTCTATCTATTAATCTACTTATTGGTCTTCCCTGTGGTCTTTTGCCTTCTATTGAGGCATTCATTGTTACCTAGAGTCTTCCAGATGGGATGGATTGTTATGAGCTACATGTCCCGCCTACCTGAACAACCATGCCTTCATATCATTGGATATTGATTGACCAGTTTCTGTAAGCAGTCCTTCATTGGTCTTTCTTCTCCATGTGTTAGTGCTTTAATCCCAGATCGCTCCGGTTATCGTGTGGAAGATTTTTCTCTCAAATCTTTTAACACTTTTTTCTAGGGTGCTGGTTAGTGTCCAGGTCACACAATCATATATTAGAACTGCCTTTATCATAGCATTGTACACCCATAATATGAGGTTTTTCTCGGGATATCAATATTTTTTAATCTGAGAAGAAAGCTCTGTTTGCACTAGTTATATGCTGGTTTATTTCTGACCATTGGTCATTCATCGAGGTTATTGTGGAGCCAAGGTTTTGAATTTTTCTGCTCTCGGGAATGATTTTCTTTCTACGCAGATCCTGTTACTGAGTGGAATTTTTGGCTTATAATCATACAATTTGCTTTGTCTTCATTTAATTTTAGGCCGATCTGCTCTGCCTCTTTTATCAGCGTCTTAGCGAGTTTCTCAATGTCCTCTTGATTATTTCCGAGGACAGCTATATCATCTGCATATCCAAGTATTCTATGATTCATTCCAATGTGATCCCTCCATTTTCCTGTGATGTTGTTCTCATTACCAACTCCACCAGGGCTAAGTTTAACAATATCAGTGATAATCCATATCCCTGCCGTAAGCCCATTCGAACTGTGAAGGCTTCAGATACTTCTTGTCTTGACTCTGCATTTTTTTCCATTATTTAATATAATTTATTTTAATTGGATTTAGGTATAATAGTACAACCCAATGAGAACTCTCACATTAGAGAGCTATACTTTTACTCCCTAATCCATTCAACCTATAAGTGACATCAGCGAAACATGTTTATTTGTATGTGCGATATAATATTATCAAGATAGTTTAGACTATTCAATACATACAACTGGTAGTGCTTCATACTTTACCATGACTGTTAAAGTAACAATTTACTTAATAAGCGATTAGCTTGTTCCACTGTTTATAGCTTGTCCAATAGTTAAGCCATAAGACACAGCTATGTCTGAACTTACACTATTTGCATTCACACAAGACCTATTTGTTTGTTGCAGAAAAGCCTTGGTTTACAATTTTCTGACTTACTAAGAGTATAGAAGTCTATTACTGAGAGTATCGAACCCATATCAGGATATTATTTAGATTTATTAAAAATGCTAAAAAGTTTTTTTAGAGCTATGCTTATCCATATATCTTCTCTATCTCGAAAACTAAAAAATCCATATCGAAATCTTTAAAACACAATTTATCCACTATCAATCCCTTAACTTTTGAAACCTCCCAATATTTTCAATGACTTTTATGGTAGTTGTAATGTAAAACAAGTGTTTTATGTAAAACATTAATAAATTGGAATTTGTCACTTCTCCATGAAATCTCCTTTCATTTGATACCTCATTCATCAAGATGCATAGCTCTTGAGAGCCGGAAAAGGGATTTATATTACCATATTACATATATTATAGATGAATCCTTCTATAAAATAATACTGTTACTTTAAGTCCATAAAAAACAATTCGCTATAGTTGTGTTTAATTTTTAAACATGTTTTAATTCATTATTATTAAAAATATTTAAATTTTTCTTTAGATGTTTTGTTTGACTTGATGAAAAAAGGAAATAAAACCTAGCAACTTGACTTTTATCATCAAAACTCTTTGCCAATAAACACAAACTAGATAGAACTGCCGTACTGCCAACATCTTCACCGCTTCTAGAAGTAATCCAAAAGTAATCTGGATATGATGTCATACCTAGACTGCCAAGTGGTACAAAGGAAATATGCTCCAATCTATTCAACTAAAGCAGCACCCAACTGCTAGTAGTCACTGCAATGGACAGTACCAGCAAAATAGTACCTTTAGTTGTAAACATGCAACATCATTTAAGCATTTCGCTTATGCCTTTAGAACAGATATGCTTTCCTCAATATTCCTTTTGTGATAAAAGAAGTTATCCATAAGGATGTAACATCTGAAATAGATATAAATCCTTATAATATTATATAAGTTGTGGAAAGGTAAACTACAGTTGGCTACAAGAGAACAACTTTTGTTTCAACCTTAAAACATCTAAAATGAACACACCACCCAACAGACAAGTTTTGAATATCCAAGTAGGAAAGTAAAGAAATTTAGGACAATTTGTTACATTAATAACCCTTTAATGGAAGCAGATAAACAAATTTTCATCACCAAGAGGTAAAAAATTCATCCCTCTAAATGAATAACTAAAAAATTTCAAAAATTAAAAAAAAAACTTAATTAATTATATAGATGCATAAGTTCAAATATGTACATATGTATTTCACATATATTAATAGGACCCTACACGGTCAATCGGAATTGCACTAATGACGTTCCGAATTGTCGTGCAAGGTAGTGAATGAAGTACTGATGGTGGTGTGCTGCGGATTTCCGAACATCCGGAAATCAAAGGTTCATTCACTAGAAGTGGAGGGGAGACCGACTAAACATATGGACTGGGGAGACCAACCATACTGCTGGATAGGTTAGGTTACCTGTGCCTCAATTTCTGATTTTCATTATATGTAAATAGTTAAATAATTTTTCATATCCCTTGTTTATAATTTTAAACCATCTTCAACTATTTCTTTTAAATAGTCAAGTGGGCAACAAATTAAAAAAAAAAAAATGAGGAAACTTCACAATTTACTTAAAAGGAAAAAAAAAAACTTAAACGTTGTCTATATTTATCAGTTCTTTTCCCATTTCCTCAACAAATTTATTATTTTCGCAATACCTTTCCTCAATTTTTGTAAGTAGTAGACTTATATTTTACTAACTTTTGTCAAAACGATTTTCTATGAGACTAACCTAACTACTAGATAGTTTACCTAGGTCTCGTTATTAAGTAAATAATTTCATAAAAGTAAATAGTTGTTTATATCCCTAGTCTATATTATTATTAACCATTTTCGACTATTTTTTCTTTAAATAGTCAAGTAGGCAATAAATTGGAGAGAGAAAAAAGTGGATACTTCACAATTTACTTATAGAAAAAAAATCTTTAACTGTTGTGTTTATTTGCCATTAATTTTTCCATTTTCCTTAACAAATTGATTATTTTCGCAATACTTTTCATAGATTTTTGTATGTAGTTGACTTATATTTTGGACTAACTTTGGTCTAAACGATTTTCAGGCACTAGGAAGTAATTATTATATCTCCGTTTTTCTCTTGATGCCCAATATTATAAATGACAATGTCCAAATAAGCATATCTATGCTGTTTCTTTGTTTACAACTGCGCTAAATTGGTCAGCAACGATCTAACCTAAATCAGCAACGATAAGTAATGATCAGAAATGATTGAACGTGTAAGGGTCTTCATGATCAAAGCGATAGCGGGCAATCTTGGAACTTCTTGTGACGTTCATTCATGAATAACCGTGTAGGGTCTGCTTTAGTTTCTAATTAATACAACCTAAAACCGCAATACCTCTATTACCTAAAATAAATTATTATTTATCATTCCTTTAAGTAGTATTTCTGATCTAACAAGAGCTTCAAGCTGAAGAGTAAAATGAAAGCATGGTTTCATTAAGTTTCAACAATATACAAAAACATTGAGGCCTGCATGTAAATTTTAATAAAATATAAATTTAATTTTTAAATATATATATTTATTATAACATTTTTTCTTAAATCTCTAAATGAGAAAACAATTCAACCTAAAAATAATCTGTATTAAGTATTTAATTACAGGTGCTAAATTCATGCAAAGTAATAAGAATAAATTTTTCTTTCTTGTTATAGCATTAAATTCAAATATTCTACAAAATTTTAATTAATTTACCTTTTACGATGTATTCTACTACTTTATCCATATCTTCTTCTACAAAACCTCTTGTCGTGAGAGCAGGGGTTCCTAACCGGATTCCACTCGGGTTAAACGCACTACTATCTCCAGGAACTAGATAAATAAGAAGAGAATATTATCTATAATTAAATCACCAATATGCTTTTTTGAAACTCATAATCAATTATTTCCATAATATATAATAAAGCTTTGAGAGAATTCAGCCAGAAGTGTATAATAAAGATATATAAAGTACTTTGTAAATTACACAAACAATAAATTTTAAAAAATTAAATGTTGAACTAAAAACCTTTTCTAAATAAATTTGTTTTATTTTCTGTGATATATGATAAGAATTATTGTGAAGTAAGAACACTATTTTGTTTTAAAAATGTAATGAAATCTATATTTTGGATAGCATTACTTTATTTTTTTTTTCTACATCAACTTTTCAAATTTAAATAGAGCAAATAATTAACTCTTGTAATTAGCTAAAAGCATTAAATATGATGAACATTAAATAAAATGTAAATAGTGAGATTTTGAAAGAATATTTTGTAAAATGAATATCATTAAATCAAATGGTAATGGCTGACATCATTATATTTATACTGAGTGACATCCATGTGGCATATAACAAATGTTATATAATAATTTCAACATAAAAAATCTGGTACATAAATAATTTTAATGGATTGAGCAATTTTAAAGATTAAGCTAACAAATCATTAAGACCATTAAAAAGAAGAGAAGAATAGTTGGGGTGGTCAGTCAAAAAGGAAGGCAAAAATAAATGATATTTATTTTTACATATGCCGACGTTTCGACCTGAAGTTCAGGCCTTCATCAGGGCTAAGAAAATAACCAGATAACAAGGTATGAGAAACATAAGTAGAGATGGTAAAAAAAAATTTTGAATTTTGAAAATTTTAAATTTTCCTTTCACTTTCTATTAACTTTCGTTCAATTTTCCATAATTTTTCTGAGTAATATATCTCTCGTACCTATTTACGCTTCCAGCGCTTTCGTTCAAACTTCGTCAGATAACCGTTAGAGATGACGCCACCTACACATCTCTTCTCTCTCCCCCTCCCTTGCAACGACTTTTATTCTCCCTGCAATACTTAAGGAGACAGGTAGTACTTCTTTTATTTATTTCTTATTTCAGCTTTCTCAATTTCTTCCCTCCTTCCTTTCATTCCTTTTCTCTGTTTTTAACTCTTTATTATATTATACATTGTCTGTACATCTTGATAGACTTTACAATATCTCAATTTTCTATCTAACTACTCCATTCTCAATGTTTTAATTTTACTATTTATTTTCATTTCTTATATAACTTCGTATTTCTTTTTTATGTTTTACATTTTATTCTAAGATTCCCATTGTAACACTTATGTCACCCTTTTTGATTATGCCTACTTCATCATTCCACACTTTGTAACGGTTATTATTATTTATCTCTTAGTTCTTAGTCATTATTCTAACAATTTCATTTTACTTTATATTTATTTATTTTATTTTTTTAATTTTTATTTTTTATTATTTTTTTTTTATTTTTTTTTTTTACCATCTCTACTTATGTTTCTCATACCTTGTTATCTGGTTATTTTCTTAGCCCTGATGAAGGCCTGAACTTCAGGTCGAAACGTCGGCATATGTAAAAATAAATATTATCATTTATTATTGCCTTCCTTTTTGACTGACCACCTCAACTATTCTTCTCTTCATTATCCACGACAGTCAACCAATTACCAATTATTAAGAACATTAAAACATCAAAATCATATTTATTATATCAAAACTAGACAATAAATTAGGTAAAATGTAATACCAGATATATTTTCAGTAAACTTTATATGATATACTCAAAAAAAAAAAAAAGATTATCTGTTTAAATTTTAATTAAAATTATCTGTTTTAAGTTATATTTAAAATATTTATTCTGTATTTCTTCTCTTTTGCTGAGAAGCTGCAGAATATTCTCTAATTTTGGCAATGAAAACTTCCAGATATACAAACAATTGGTTTATTTGTTGATTAATATATTTCAATTATATTTATAACATAAATTAATTACAAATCATGACGAAGGAGCACATCAGATTTTAGCCATAAATCGTTATGAAAGTATGGGATTTTAAATTTTGAAAATGAGAATAATTTTCCCCGAAACGTCAACAACATGCATATCAACAAATAAATCAATTGTTTGTATACCTGGAAGTTTTCATTGCTGAAATTAAAGAATAAAATATTTATATTAAATGTATAATTAATTAATTACAAATAAATTTCTTAATACCCCATATTTTTTTTGTATGATTCATGGTATATTTTTTAGAGATTAAACGTAAATATCTTTACCTTGGACCATGAAAGTCAATAATTAGACTTCATCTTTCTACATATTAAATTATATCGTTGGGGTAATTAAAAACTTAATTTTGGGAAAAATCCTTCATGAAAATTCACTTGCCTATGAAATAACTACCAATTTTATTGTTAATGTTATTTTTCTTCATTCCATCTAGAACTTCAATTCGCGACACTATTTTTCTTGAACTTTATAATAAGTCAATTATTTTTCATTATTTTCTCCTAGTCGAAAGTAACTGGAGAATTTAGTTATATTATTCCAAATTGGTTTGTTTAATTATAAATCTTTAGATATTGCTATGCTACATGGAGAAAAATGCAGATAGAAAATTAAAATAAATGAATAAATAATTTCTTAAATGGAAGTTAGTTCATTTTCTGGTTGAAAATTTATGATATATTGATTACATTATCGATTCATTAGTGTTTAATATCGTATTATTTTATATTAAACTTCATTAATATGAATTTATTAAATTTTGACATAGGATTTTTTATTTATTTTATATTAACTTTAATTATTTATATTAACTCCATATATTTTTGTGAACCACATAAGTCCAGTCTCTGAGCTATTTATGGCTACAGAGATTTAAAAGTGCATATTCTATATTTAATCTATAAATGATTATGGATTGTACTACTATTTAATTAAAAACTTATTTTTCCATTATAAAGTTTATTAAATAGAGCTAAGAGATTTTCATTGCCTACCATCGGTAGATCAAAAGTAGTCACACTAATTGTAAATGGATAATGTTTTGATTTCACAGAGGAAAAATTCATCAAATTATACACTAATTTAATTTTCTAAAATGTTACAAGATAATTTTTCGGAATAGACAGGTGATAGATAACTAATTATTTAAATACAATATTGGCTCTTGTGTTATTAAACCATAATAAATGTATAAACTGAAGAGAAGGATGGTTGGGAATATCAGTCAAAATTAAAAAAAAGAAAAAATAAATAATAATATTTATTTTTACATTTGCCGACGTTTCGGCTCTAGTTCAGGCCTTCTTCAGGGCTAAGAAAAGAACCAGATAACAAATGTATAAACATTTGTTATACACATCCATGAAATATTTTTATATTTCACTTCTTCTTTCACACAAATATAATGAAATAGGTTTTTGTAATAATGTCATTACTTTAATTTGGTGGATGTTATATTCAAACTTATATTAGATATTCAAACTTAAAAATAATTTTTAAAGTTTACATTTAGTTTGGAGATTTCATTTAATTTCCTTGGAAACATGTGGTTTCCATCAAATATTAGTTACAGAAATTATTATTTATAATTTTTTCACCCCTTTCCATTACTTTATAGGACCTAGTATGTTAGACATTGTTTTTTTCTTATCTTCTCAGCTCTCCAATGATATATTTTGTGTATACCTTGTGACTAATATTATCAGAAATTGATTTTTGGTCTAAATAAATATTATTTCTTTTTTATCCTTAAATGATTTATCATATTCTTTCGAAGATTGTATTTAGACTTTTTTTATTACTGATAACAATGAAGGATAGTTAATTATTTAAAATAAACCAAATTAAAGATATTTCAGAGGAAAAAATTTCGAACATGGGACATTTAAGCTCTGTTAAGCGACATCAATGGTGATAAGACCTACCTGATATTGAAAGATTATTCAATTGTTGATACATTGAGTTTAATCAAAATCTTTACGAGCCATTTATGATAAAATTATAAAAATGAGGAAAAAGTTCCTGTAACATACGCATGTTTAATGCGTAATATCAGTTTCATAAGACTTTTCGTTTTTGAGCTAAGCTGTTCACACACACACACACACACACACATACAGAGACCATACACAATACCATTTCGTGGGACTTGATTATTTGGACTCAGGGGATCTCAAAACATGCATTTCTATAGAAAACTTAAATTCAAAAATGTTCACAATCGCAATACTTTCCTAAACTATACATAGGTAAGTGAAAGTAAAAATGTGTTAATGTTTAATAAAATAATTGCAACAAAATTTATGATAGCATTATTAACAATCTAGGATTCAAATCTGGAATAAAAGTTAATTTTTTTTAAGTTGAATACATACCTGTATTTTTATTGCAGGCTATATTTACTTCTTCTAGGATATATTCAGCTTTTGCTCCTGTCAAGCCAAAAGGGCGGACATTTACTAATACCAAATGAACTTCAGTATCACCAGTAACAATCTCTAACCCAGCAGCTTTCAAAGATGAACATAATCTCTTAGAGTTAGCCAATACCTGATAGAATAATGAATATCAGTTAATTCTTTCAATAAAAAGTATGCAGTATTCATAGTTATATTAAACATAATATATTTCCTGCTTATTATTCTATTGATGAAGTGAAAGTCACCTGTTGTTGATAACTCTTGAACTGAGGAGATGTTGCTTGTTTCATTGCTGTAGCGATTGCAGCAATAGTATTGTTGTGAGGTCCTCCTTGAAGTGATGGGAAAACAGCACTGTTAATTTTTTCTTCAATGTCAGGATTCAATCCTTAAATGAAAATTTTTTGTTTAAGATTTCAAAAAGATTTATTTAGAGTTTATAATGTATTAATTAAAAAGAAAATATATTCAATTCATCTTTTAGAATTTATAGTTTGTATTTATAGTATAGCTTTTTTTTTTTTTTTTAAATGAGCAGAAATCGCAGGATCGACTTCAAGAGTAATTATTCAAATTTAATTAACATAAACAGGAAAATTCATAGGAGATGACCAACTCCATAATGAGTCACTAAATGCAGATAATCACCAAAACTTCAAGTTGATAGTAACTTAGTTTACACAAGACAACATAGTGTAAGTAAACAAGTAATGTATTCAAGAAATATCTTATTTACATTTATATTAATATAATTGTAGTATTAGAATTTGAGAAACTAGTTAGTTTTTCATAATGAACAACAAAAGAACTACTAATACCAACCTTTTCTGAAGAAAATGACCCCAGCACGAGGGCCGCGAAGAGTTTTATGAGTGGTAGTAGACACAACATCAGCATAATCAAAAGGAGATGGAATAACACCTGCAGCAACAAGGCCAGAAACATGGGCCATATCTGCCATGAGATAAGCTTTTGCATCATCTGCTATCTGACGAAACCGCTTGTAGTCCAAACAACGGGAATAGCAGCTGATACCTGCGGTTGAAAATAAAATAAATGAATATAGATTCAAAACTTTACAACCAAACTTCTAAGGAATTTGAAATTTATTACTTTGGCATCTGACACACACACACACACACTAAATAACTGATTGAAATAATGGTTCATATTTATAACCTCTTCAAGTAACTAATACAGAAATAAATTAATTTGTGAATGATTCTAGACTTTAAATTTCTTCCATAGTTAAAATTAATATAAAATATGATGCAACTAAAAAAGTTAAATATTTTAATAAATATATTACAATCATCTAATCAGAACATAACTAGTTAACAAATAATAATAACAATCATAGTAAGTTGTAACAGAAGTACGATTACAACACATGAAGGGTCTTGGGATCAGTACTGAGTAAGAAAGTAGTGTTTCAAGGCCAACAGTTGTGCAGGGAGGTGATCAGGCCGGGATCATGCTCAACCCCAACTTTTCCTCCCCGGTTAATTATTTAATTAAGAATAGCCACTTTAGAGGATGGGAATGCCCCCAGAGAGTCTCCCGACCCAAGATCGACCCACAGCTGATGAAAAACCAAGTGTCATGCCGGATTCGAATCTGGGACCTTGAGCTTTGGAAGCAGTGCTTACCCACTGAGCTATCCCGCTCTCTAATTAATGAGAAAATGATATGTTAAATACACAAGCTACATTCATTCTCACTAGAAATATCACAAAATAAAGTAATACAGCTGCTCTAGCAATGAAAACAAATAAATTACCTGCTATGATGATTTTTGGCCTATAAAGTTTTGCATTTTCTTCTAGCTTATCATAATCAATCAGTCCAGTCTTTGGATTAACTTTATAGGGAAATGATTCAAAGAATATTGAAGTAGCCGAAATTCGCTTGGTAGGTGTCATAAACCCATGTGTCAAATGACCACCATCAGGTAAATCCAGACCTGGAAAATGGCAAAATAATGAACAATGAGCACAAAATATACTATAAGGGTTTTAAAGACACAAGAGTTCAAATTTGTTGATACCCATGATTCGATCGTGAGGAGCTAATAGGCCAGTTAATACCGCAAGATTAGCAGGAGAACCAGAGTAAGGTTGGACATTAACACCCCACTCATTTTCCGAGAGGCCAAATGCTTCAAGTGCCCTTTTTTGGCATAATACCTCTACTTTGTCAATAAATTCATTTCCTCCATAGTACCTAAAATTGAAAAATATTACATGAAAACAAATAATTGAATAGTGATAATAATAAAACAATAAAAAATTTAAATCATATGGTATATATAAAGAGTGGATCGGGGTGTGCAGTCAAATTAATACTAAATTAAATAAGTAGAATTATTATTTAATTTTTGCCGACGTTTCGACCCACTTTGTAGGTCTTCATCAGGGCTACAAAAGATACAAAACAGTGAAAATAAATGAATATAGGTAGATATAAAATAAGAATAAGTTGTTTGATACAGAACTAAAAGATGATATCAGAGATGTAGTGGGTGACAATGTAGTTAAAATAACAAGTATTATATGTAGAAGATACAAATTTATATTTATGTAGAATATTATATTTCAAATTTATGTAGAAGATAAAAATTTCCATTTTTGTTTGTATCTTCTACATATAATACTTGTTATTTTAACTACATTGTCACCCACTACATCTCTGATATCATCTTTTAGTTCTGTAACAGACAACTTATTCTTATTTTATATCTGCCTATATTCATTTATTTTCACTATGTTTTGTATCTTTTGTAGCCCTGATGAAGACCTACAAAGTGGGTCGAAACGTCGGCAAAAATTAAATAATAATTCTACTTATTTAATTTAGTATTAATTTGACCGCACCCCCCGATCAACTCCTTCTCATATTATATCAACGGTCAACCATCTCTACATCATATGGTATATAATTAGGAAACTTCCTAAGTAATGCTAATACTTATAATACAGAGTTTCTACCATAAAACGAGTGATATTCAATTGATATATTAGGCTAAACTTACACAGTCGGTTTTCTTCTCCATCCAAGATGTCAGTTTGAAGAGAAAAGGGAGGGAGAAATGGCTCTGTTGGGAGCAAAAACTGAAACTACCTTACACTATCAGATTTTTTATCCCTCCGGACCATCAATCCATGATTTATTTGACCTCAATCAATCAATCTTTGATTTATTCTCTTCAGGTGCTTTTGGATCATTTAAAAAAAAAAAAATGTTGATAGCACCAGTGATGTGGTTGGTAGATATTCTTGCCCTCTGCTTCTGAATTTTTGGGTACATTGACTTTTTATTATTTTCTGAAGCAATCCAGCAGAGAATTGATATTCTTTTTAACTGAATCCATCATTGCAAAGGCATGCATTTCCTGAAATTTATTCAATAGCAGTTCACCAGTTTTTTTTTTTTAAGCAATCCGAATAATTATTTAATTGCTTATTTTCACTTGATTTATTGATTGATACAATAAATTCCAAAAGAAATTGTCCCTCCTTCTTAGAGCTCATTTTTGTTTTTACGTTATGAAAATGATCTGAAAACTTGATACTGTTCCTTTAAACTTACAAGTGTAGTCCTCAAAAGTTTCTGGTATACTAATCCTGGGTGTTTCTGCAAGGTATTCGGTGTTCAAAACCCCAGCAAGAATTATTTAATTTATAACACATAATCAGACCTTTTTACCAATACCAATTAATTAGTTTTGATGCTCGCCAATGTTCACTTGTTGAGGAAAGTAAATATTTATTAATTAAAAAAAAAAAGGACGGAACTAGTTCAGCAAGTAAGCCAGGTGGTCTTTTTTTCAACAACTGATGGCTACCTTGAGATTGCCGCCACTTATCATAGTGGGTGTGTCAATGTTCCTTGAAAACCAAGGCAGATGGGGATCAAACCCAAATTCAGAATTGGGGATTCTGAGACCAACGCCCCAAATACTCCTCTATATTGAGGGTGAGAATTTGTGAAAAAATAAATTTGGTTTATTTTAAACCTATATCTAAACTGCATCAATTCATAATTTTTAGATATTGTTTTGTGATATATCTAAGCGTTTATCAAAATTATATAAATAATCTTTAAAACTTTGACAAAGAACCAATGTTTCAGAACAATATGAGGAAGTATACATGTTCAGCTTTTGTTAACTCGACAGCTTTCTAGCACTGGCATCAAAAGTGATGGTCTTCACACTTTCTTGATCAGTTTTTCCTTCGGTCCAGAACAACATATCAAAACATCACTCAAATTAGATGAAAAACTAATAGTATAGGTCCAACTTTACTAATTTATACACAGATAAAATGGTGGAATGTATTTCTGGAAACTATGATAATTAATCTAAATTTGAATCTTTGCTCAGTGATAAAGAAAATAATTAATTTATGTATATATGTTAGTATATCACATATGAAAAATCCTTTAGTCTATGTGGTGACTAACAATCTTGGTAATTGACATTTCCAACTTCTAAAGGATTTTTCAGAAAATTTACAACTGGTAACATTTTCACAAACACCCATTAATAAACGAAAATATAAAATATAATTATTATTATGAGAATATAATGAAGTTTAAATTATAACGTTCCCTGTCGAGCGACATTTTTCAAAACAGTTCTACCATGCCCATCATCAACAAAGATAGATATCAAAACATACCTTCAAACAACATGAAAATACTACCAGCTTCATGGTATGGGGTAGGTAAAACAAAAAAGGTCTCTTTTTTTAGCTGGCACCTATGAGATAACTTCGGCCCCTGAGATTACTCATTTTTGGAAGTCAACGTTTTAAAAAAATGCTGCTAATTATGTATTGGTTCTTTATTTTCAATTAGATAACTCTCTCATTATTTCCAAAATTGATAAAAAATTTCTTTAAAGCTTGTAAATGATTATCAAAGATGCTTCAGATTTTCCTATATACCTTCACAAATAGTGGAGATATAGATAAATCAAACTTTTGATGGGCTAACTTTTGAAACAATATGGCAGATTTAAAATTTCCGACTTTGATACCATATATAAAAAAAGCAGTACAGGGCACTGTAGTCTCAGAGACAAGTTGTGGACACAAGTTTTATAAAATATTTGTTGACTCAAGAAGTATCTTGAAACGTAAATACTTAAATTCAGAAGGAGATTTGATTTGTTTTATTTTTTTTAGTGGTCGATCACAAAAATTTGTTATTGAAAATAATAAACCAACATCAATGCATAATAATTAAAGTTAAATGGAATAAAGACCAAATATGAAGAAAAAAACCATCAGCTCATAAAGATAATCTCTTACATTGCAGAGTTGAAAGCACTAGGCTGAAACTATATATTATCTGTTAGGCTAAAATTGGATACAACGGTTAATTAAATTCTTTTAACTACCGAAATTAGCTATCCTACAGTTAATTATTTCATTTCCACTCTTGCTTGCTTTTGTGGCAAGAAGGGTAATTATGGCAACATACTGGTACTGGAGGAGGAAACTAGTCGAGCAAGAGGGGCCTATGTGGTACTTTTTGCCACCAGAGTGGGAATGTCACGATCCATTTTCTGGGGTTCCCGAAAAATGAAAAGTAACCGACCCAGGTGAGAATCGAACTCACAACGTTCAGATCCAGACACTCTGGAACTCACGCCTCAACATGCTTAGCCATCCCATCCTCAATTATGGCAACATAACAACTTACTTCAGTAAGTAAGACAGAGTACATAAATAAGACAGCTATTTCTTAATTCTTGGTTCTTTGATATACTGGCTTATGGTGAAAAAAGGCTTTCACCTTTTGGTGGTCTTCTTTTTGAGGTTCCTATGTGGCAGTGGATGGGCCTAAACTTCAACTGGAAAGTTGGGGCCCAGTGGGAGTTGTTCAACAATCATAATCTAATTAAAGCAGTAATGATTGTAATATAACAAATACTACCTGCTGTCAACTTTTGGAATTTCATCTGCGGACTAATTGATTTGGACTTGACCCACTTACCATGCAGAAGTGACACTAATGAAGAATTACAGTACAGATTTTTATAACAATATCGTAGTTCGACAAAAAAATGAATATTACCTTTTTCCTGGTAGACCTTCAGAATATTTGTTGTGAAGACATGAACTCAGACATTGTAATACTGATAGAGAAGTAAAATTTTCAGATGCTATCATTTCAAGTCCTTTTTTCTGTCTTTCCTTTTCTTGCTTCATCAGTTGGAAGAGTTCAGGATCAGAATCCCAAACATTCTGAGTTAAAATGTTGTCAGAAACACCCATTGCAAAATTTCTGGCACTACAAAATCAAGATAAATTATTAACATTGTGCATGAAAAGAAAATCAATGCTGATTGTTATTCATTTGGAAATGAATATAATATATCTAATTCAACCTATCTTTCAATAAAATTAATGCTCATGCTCCACTTAAAGGAAAATATCTAATGTTAACATTTACCTTTGGGAAGCTAACCATTTTCTGGGAGTCTGATTAATAAAAACATTATTAATAACTGCCCTGAACATATTTTTTTCCGAATTATTCCAAAAGGATACAAAAGATGAACTAATTAATACATGACAGAAAAACACTACATGAAGATGTCAATAACTGTTAAGGTGCTATTGATAATATATGAAGCAAAACATTTCTACTCCAATAATAGAAAAACACAGACATACAATACAACTAATAAGAACTTGACTAATCCAGTGAAGATTTCGAAAATGTTAAGCAGAAATAAACAACCATTTAACACTAAACCACCTGTTGAATCCTTACTAAGAGGTATTTTCCTAATCCTTGTATAGGAAACTTACATTGGAAATAAATGAAATCGGCTAGAAGAAATAAATGTCAAACGAATCCAACAAAGGTCTCCGAGATACTAATGGAACCAGCAGCAAAGTAAAATTAATCTTATAATGGAGATACCCAGCGACAAAAGAGGGGGATTAGGTCTATATCCTATATCAATTTTTAGCGACCATGAACTCATAGATAACTTTTTTTTTATTAAATATAACGATTTAAACGATGATGAAAAACAAGAATATCGAACGTCACATTTTTCATGAACGGACCTCGTCAACAAATAGAATACTGGAGAGAAAAGGACCCAAGAATTATTTGGATAGGAGCTAACTATCTAAGGAAATAACAAATAAGGATAAGATAACTTTTGTATCATACTATTATTGAAGTTATTAAGAAACACTACGAATTAATAACTCGTAAGCGGTAAGCGAATTCCATCAGTAAAAATTAACCAATAATACAATAATTAACTAAACTTTTTGACGTACCTCATTTTAATTAATCCTCAATAAATGAGATATTATGTAACAATATTTAACAATATCTAATAACGAGTTCGTTTTTAATTCGTTTGCCGCTACCAAATCAGAAACGAACTATAAAACCGCTACGCATAGCACAAATACCAAAGCATACTTCACTCTACCAAGTAAAGTGGTGTGACGTGTACACCTTGCATGCTTCATAAGGAAGGAGGGGCTCTGAAGAAGACCCAGCTTTGCCAACAAGATTTTATTTTTAACTTCTGAATTTACATTGATATAAAGTATAGATGACATAACGAGAGCTGGTTGGCCGAACGGGCTAACGGTAGTACAAACCAGCCTAGCTCGAGTTCACGTCCCAATACTTGGGGAGCTTTTAATTCTGGCATTAATTCCCCATCCTCTCCCCTAGACCGCTTCTATAATCCAAAAGGCGATAAAGGGTAGGATAAAGAAATAAATAACATTACATGTATGTTATGTAATAATATTGTTGTTTCACACATTATAAAGGAAGAGGTTGGGTTTTAGTGTTAAACTTAATGAGACTCGACAAAAAACAAATTTCTCCGGGACTCTTGATTTTTCTCAACGGACCTGCATAGATCTGAAAGAACTAATCATTCATAATGCTACATATTGATATATCAATATTGCAACATATATGGGCACAAGCGGATCCAGGATTTAATTTTGGGGGGGCTTCAGCCCGAAAGATTTTTTTTTTCATATACATATAACGATAATTAATTTGAAAAAAATTAAAGAAATTAATTACCTATATGAAATGGTGTTTAAGTGGTTCTTGAAGTCCTATTAAATAGAATTACACGAACAAGGATACTTTAAGAGATCGTATTTAATATTTTTTTCTGTAAAACATGGTTACATTTTACCATTTTGGAGGGGAGGCTTCAGCCCGAAAGCCCTCCCCCCGCCCCCGTAGATCCGCCTGTGTATATGGGTACTAGTTGTCTTTCACTACTCCATGATTGCAACATGTTTCAAGACCACTCTGCCTCATAATACCTGTTTACTTCCGACATTAGTGTCTTGACTTAACACAAGTTTCTTAGGTTAGGTTAGTTTATATTCTGGCCTTTCCAATAAGTAATAAGGAAAATATCTTCAGCTTGAAAACAAGTTTGATATACCTGGTTTACCTTCAACACCAAACGCTAAAATAGGTTATTAAAACTAAATTGAAATTTTCACCCCGCTCTCTATGATAGATAGGGATAAAATATGCATAGTAATAAAATACATAATTGAAATCAGCCTATTATGAAACTGAAACCCCTTCTGCGCATTAATAGATACGGAGAAATGTGGAGCAGTGAAAATACGTATAATAATAAAATATGTATAGAAAAAACACCCATAATAAAATAATATGATGGAGAGAAAAGTTTGATCGCTTCGAAAATTCATAACGTAATTATTGCCCGTGGTACAGACCCCCTTTTTTATCAACTTATTAACATCCAACTGAAACTTCGTAAATCGCTTCATTTCATCGTAACCTACAACTATTTTATTTACGAAAATTCTTGGAAGTTTTCAATTTGGAGATCGGAAAACTTTCAGCTGTCCTAACTGTCATTCAATTAGATACTAAAAAGGTTTATATACTCATTTGCTTTCCACCTGGATCGTGAAGCAAAGATCACTAGCGGATCCAGAATTTAATTTTGGGGGGGGGGGCTTCAGCCCGAAAGCTTTTTTTTCCATAAAAATGACGATAATTACTTTGGAAAAAAAAGAAAGAAACTAAATATCTGTATGAAATGGTGTTTAAGTGATTCCTTAAGTCCTTTAAAATATAATTACACGAACAATAATACTTTAAGAGATAATTTTTTAATATATTTTTCCATAAAACATGGTTATATTTTACCATTTTGGGGGGGGCTTCAGCCCGAAAGCCCCTCCCCGTAAATCCGCCCGTGGCAAAGATGATTTGATAGCAAAATCGAGAAAAAAAAAAGTGGCCTACAAAAACATTTGGCCTTTTGGCCTATATAACTTCGTTATGTTGACATTTTGGGGGTGTAGGTCGAGCCCTTCTTCTTAAGTTTCTTCTCAAATTATCTAACGCTTCAAATGGAAAGCAAATGAATTTTTACGAGTTTTTAGTACCTAAATAAATAAACAAAGTTTGACGATCTCCAGATTGAAAACGCCCCGATTCCAATAATTTTCTTAAATAAAATATCTGTAGGATACAATGAGTTGAAGCTATTAACGATGTTTCAGGCTGTATTACGGACAATTATTCGTTGTTAAATATTCCGATTATCGAATCGGAATCCTACAAAATATATTTATTTCCATATTTTAAGAATTATTGTCGACTATAATAATTGGAATAAAATTTCCCTTTTAAAATAGTGGATAATTTATAATCAAAAGTAGATCGGTGCTATCGGATACATTCGAGTATTTTCGTGAATCTAGGTGTAGGGTGCTCTAAGAGATCTTAAAACAACCAGCTATTTTGAAGTAGTAAAAGGGAATTAGTACCCATGCATGTTAGTATATCATTTAAAATATCCTGAGTTATATTTAGTAACAATAGTCGGGAATAAATGCTTGGCCAGGAGTGACTTGCTAAGTTATATTTTTACTAAACAAATTTTTTTGCGTGTTATTAATTTTTGTGGAGACAATATTCAATTTGGAAGAACTTTGAAACCGAGAACAAGAGGAACCAAGCCCGGTCATCTATAATGTTCCTATATCGACTTTAAAAGATTTTAACTCTCATTTTCATTACACTCTGGCGTTTTACTTGGCATATAAAGGAAAGCGAACCATTAACAGTAAATGTTTCTATTTAGCTCTTCCTGAAGTGCAAAATTACACACTGTTTCCAAAGACTGTCTCTTGAATTAAAAAACTAAGGTGTGTATATATGACTTTAGACCACACGATATAAGTGAAAACATAAACAAGGCTAGATTAATAATATGAAATATAAATTATAAATAATTGCTCATTACAAAGAAGATGAAATGCTGAACATTTCCCTCGCTTATAGTGTACACATCTTTAGTATCAGAAATATTTTAATTCATATGTTCAACTAACCTTATCGTTTGGTTTTCAAAAATGTTTTTTCCTCTTCGCCTCCCTAACACGGCGCCACATTGAGATACAATTTTGATTTATAGTCTATTACAGAGAGGATCACTAGCGGATCCAGGATTTAATTTTGGGGGGCTTCAGCTAGAAAGCTTTTTTTTTCCATAAAAATAACGATAATTACTTTGTAAAAAAAGAAAGAAACTAACTACCATTATGAAATGGTGTTTAAGTGATTCCTAAAGCCCTTCTAATATTAATCACACGAACAATAATACTTTAAGAGATACTTTTTTAATATTTGTTTTCGATAAAACATGGTTATATTTTACCATTTTGGGGGACTTCAGCCCGAAAGCCCCCCTCCCCCCCCGTAGATCCGCTCGTGGAGAGGATGAAATGCTGAACTATTTCCTTGCTTACAGCATGCAGGCCCGATTTATAGTTTCTGAGATATTTTAATCCATAAGTAAAGTTATTTTAATTAGTGAACTCTAGCCGACTTTACCCCAGCGTTAATGCCGAACGAAATCTGACGGATCTAATTCACTATTCACAAAAAAGTGCAAAACGCGCCTAAAGAAGTTTTCACTTCAAACAAAAACCCTCAAAAATCCTAAACTTGAGCAAAATTAGTGTTTTTGAGCTTTCCGCAAGATTTTGATGATTTTTTTCTATAAATACAACAGTGAAAATGCGGGGGCCAAAAAAATATCATTTTTACAGGCTCAATATTGGTATGGTTTGGGTAATGACTAAATTAGGTATATTTCACAATGAAATAAAATATTCTAAGTTAATCAATAACCTTTTTCGATTGGTAAATAATTATGAGACTATATTTTTTTGTGGTTTTATAAAATATTTACAAAAAAATAAATATAACTTATTTCTTCTTGAAAAAAATCTAAAATTACATTTGTATCTGACGTCCTAGGATCTCACATGTTTGCTATCGACTATTACATAAAGAAGATAAAACTGTATTGATAAAAATGAAAAGAAATACGTAATTTGACTCATTAGCTGCTTTGCAATCGTTTTGTAACAATAAAAATAAAAATCTAAGAAAAAATGAGTTATATCATTTAACTTGGTATTTAAAATAAAAAATCATTACGACATAAATTACAACGGATGGCCAGTGTAGATATTGGAATTATTCAACAATCTAGTAGGAGAAAATAGGGAAACTTCAACTATTTTATCTTGGCAATAGGCGATGTGAGTGAGTTCATGATGTTAAAGAGTGGTATGACGTCATAACCTTAGTAACCTCGAGTATAGTGCTAAATTTAAGCTGAAGAGGCGGCCAAAAATCAATTTTTTTAATAGTGAACTAATTCGAAAATTAATTGTCTCTAAGAATAGTTTAATCAATAAGTTGCAAGAGATATAACTACAATTAACATAAATAATGGACAGAAATAACTTTCTAGGTAAAATTTCGAAATGTA